ATAACACAAAGATATCTAAAAAACACACTAAAAGATGACCCAGTTCAATTATCAGAACCAAAGCATCATTTAATGGCAGAAACATTGATCACCCTCTTAAAAAAAGAAGAAAAATAAATCCCAAACAAATATGAAGAAGTCAATGTGTAAATTACAAAAAGGAAATATAATCCACATGTTAACACAAAATGAGAATCCCGAAAGAATGCCAACCAAAAGAAAAGAAAATCCTCTGCTTCACCATAAGTTCCCTCAAAACAAGTTCAACTGACAAGTCTGAAATCAACCAAGCTTATCTTATGAGAAGTTACTTTTATGGTTTAGGCCAATGGTGATGGTCAGATTCAACAGAGAGTAGGTTAAATTCATGATCCGTTCCAACTTTATCAGTTCAAGCCAATCTTACATATTTAAATTTTCCATGCTACCTTCTATGGTGAAAAATTGTAAAATGGAAACCAGATCAGAACAAGAGTAGATCAAGCAGCCAATTAAAGTATACAGCAGGACTTGTGCTTAGATTCACTTGATCTTGAAGGTCACACCACAGAATTATAAAAAGAAATAGAAGTAGACGGAAGAAAGGGTGAGAGAAGAATAGAAAAGGAGGAAAAAGGACCTTTGCCTCCAAACTAGATAGTACTTTTTGCAAAAAATGAGTAAGACAATTAGCTATGAAACTAAATCTTGCCTGAGGTAACTTCTTGTCATCATCAGAAAGTATATCCATGGCACTCCAAAATATTGTTTCGATATTCACTTTTTCATCTTCTTCATTTAAGTCCAACTTTGCCATCTGTATCACAAAATTAAGAAGAAAAGTTTTGTTATATAAATTGAAGTACAATCATAGTCTTGGTCTAACATAAATTTATTTTTTATTCAAAAAACAGAAAATCCAAAGAGCTTTACTGCTAATATTACACAAGTACTAGAAGTCCTTAAAAATGTCAATTAAAGAGACAATGGTCTGGCATAGTCCATATTGACCTGAAAAGCTAATAAAAATATGTTTAGATAAGCATCAAGTGCTCTATTTTTCTAACAAAACCAATTACAAACTAAACATTAGTAGTCAAATGTACAACCACGCAAGTTCACATATATAATAAGGCTGTTGATAACAACAATCATTGTTATAAATTTATGCCACTAGCCACAAGGATGAATCTTCAAAAGTTGGTGCATTGTTGGACTAGCAAAGATAAACAAACATCTGAGGATTTTTTGAATGTATAAATATAACTCAAAGGATCCTATCGAGCAAAAGACTAGTAGTGTTACCTGCATTGCAAGAAACTCACATTCCCTTTTGCTAAAGCTGAAAAGTATAACAGGATCATATTGGCGCTGAATTATCATCTTCACCATCTTAAATATGTCACTTTCCTCACGAGGCTTACCAGCTAATAAAGCCTTCTGCCATTTTCCATTATCACGTTTGTTCTCCTCAGCTGGAACAAGGGCATTCAAAGCTTTCTGAAAACTGTCCTCTCTAAACTTTCCCTTCTCATCCACTACCAAATATAGGCCATTGCCCCCAGAAGGAAAAATGTAGTGCTGAAGTGGTGTAGGTCGATAATCTGTATAAACTATATGGCATGGTTTTCGATGAACCTGAAACGAAAAGAAAAAAATTATTTAACATGTACGATGTACATATTAAACCATCAAGAGAACCCTAGTGCGTACAAAAACACGGTGCCTAATATTTCAACAATCGGACATGTTCAAACTTTGATATGGACAGTTAGATGAAAAATTAGTGTTCAGTGTTCCTCATAATGAAACAGAGAGAAATTTGATGCTATAAAATTGATCAGTTAAAACTAATGTATCAAAATCCTCAAAATGGCATTTGAAGTAAATTTTAAATGGAAAAAATAACAAATATGATGAAGAGAAAGAACCTTTGCAACCCAATCTGCAAACTCCTTAGCATTAGGAACCGTAGCAGAGAGAAACACAAAACGTGAGTTCTTAGGAGCCATAACAATGCTTTCTTCCCATACTACACCTCGCTCTCTATCACGCATGTAGTGGACTTCATCAAAAATAACCCAAGCCACCTCCCGCATAATTTCTGATCCTTTATACTGCATACTACGCCAAATTTCAGTGGTCATAACCTACAAAACAGAATATAAGATCAATAACATAACATAGTCAAAGAGTATAAGGTGAAAGATGCCATATGCTCACAGATCTACCAAGCAAGAGGCATTAGGTTCTATGGTTACATCCCCAGTCATGAGACCAACATCTGAAAACTCTTCTTTGAATTCCCTGTACTTTTGGTTGCTGAGGGCCTTGATGGGTGAGGTATAGATGACGCGTTGCTGATCTCGCAAAGACATGGCAATTGCATACAATGCAACGACTGTCTTCCCTGCTGATGTATGTGCCGAGACCTAGAATACCTCAACAATGAGAAAATGCACCTCCATTAAAAAACAAAGCTAGCAGAAACCATCACCAAGAAAAAAAAACAATCATCATATTTAGCAAACAATACACAGATGTTGCATGAAAATCTTACAGAAAGTACAATCCGAAGACCTTGTCAACATACTCGACCAATCTTGAGAAAAAGGAAAACCACATTTACATGTTTAATGGTACTAGAAATCTGAAAATTTCATTCTGATGACGACTTTGAACATGAAAGGGAGAAACCAAATTATTCCAATACGACTAGGGGAAGAAACTGATGTTGAGCCGTGGAAACAGCACTAAAATGCTTCCACACAAATCGATGTATCTTTGAGAGTTGTAACACCAATAAACTACTTCAAATAAAACAGACGAAATGTGCAGTCCAAAAAAATAAGCAAACGAGAAATTTTGAATTCCAAGGAGAAACAATAGAAGATTAAAAATCAAATTACTTCAAGTTGGATAAAAAGAATTTCCCGAAGAAATATTTGATCTTTGAGCTAGCTAGAGTATGTTAACACACACCAACAAAAAATAACACAAAAAAAGTAAAAATTCTTCACCTAAGAAAAACAGATTTCCCCAATTCCTCATCAAACTAAATCCAGGAACCAAAAACAAGTACCCAGAGGGAAAGCGACACGTGGCCATACCATGACGGATTCACCACTGTCCAGGCACTTGATGGCTTCCAACTGGAAGGGGTCGAGCTCGAAAGGGAACTCTCTGGCCGGAGTCTTCGAATTCTCGGAGGCAGGGCGGGGCCGCGTCGGGGCCGCGTAGCCATCGGGGTAGGAGACGTCATGGAGGCACGCCACCGGCTCGTCGAGGCGGACCACCGCCGCTTCCCTGGGTGATTTGGAGGGCGGCACGAACTCCGGATTGGAATCCTCAAGGGCTTTTCTCTTCAGTGACGACATTGTGGAGAGGGTAACCGAGATGAGGAAGAACCCTAGATGGGGTTATTAGGGTTTTCCTCGAGATCGTCAAACTTAGCGCGACGGAGCAGAGCCGCCTAAAACCCTAGGTTTGGCAAATATACCTACACAACCCTATGGGATGATAATATCACATATGACCTCCTCAAATTATGAATATTATAAGAAGTGCGAATTCCTCGCCCGCGGCCGATAGCGGAGGCCGCCTGCGCCCTTGCTCACGCGAGGGCAGCAAGGGTCGTCGCTGCTGCGCCCCCTCCTTCCTCGCACGAGGGCGACGCAGACAAGGGCAGGTCCGACGGAGCGAACGCTGGCGGAGGGCAGCGATGCAGGGGTAAAATGTCTTTTCCTTACGCGATCAATACGCCCTACGAAAATTTATGAAAGATATGAGCTTTTTCTGAAAATTCGCCCTTATAAGAATACCTCAATATTCATAGATACCCCTTTGAATTAGAGAAAATTTCATGAACAATTTTCCAATTGGAATTCTAACAAATTATCATATAAATATTATTTTAATAGCCATAATGGTTACTCAATTTTAGTCATTTTACTAATGTCAAACAATATCTCAATCCTAATTTCACATCGCAAGGGGAATAGTTTTGAATTAGGTTATTAGAGCTTGATATATCTTTGTAACATAATGTTACAGTATTTTTTTATATTATCAAAAATACTATAATACAGTATAAAAATGTTATAATTAGACTAATTCACCCTATAAATCAATTTATATGAAACAAAAATGAATAGGTAGTCAGAGGTATTTTGGATATTAGAAAAAAAAAAGATAGGATCAAAATATTTTAGAAAATAGGGTATTCTCGATAAAAAAAACCCAAAAGGATGATTTTTTATGAATTTATATAATTTAAATATATTAATGTAACGACCTAAAATAAAAAAAATAATGAGTAAAGTTTTACATAGCCCAAAGTTTTTATTTTCTCGTGAAGCATCCTTTATTTTAAAAAAGATAATATTAGATACGGCTTTCATCCCGTCAATCGTCACCTTTGCCCTATCGTGATCCCACTATTACATTATGTTCTGAGCTACTTCTATCATCGTAAGACTCTTGTCATCATCCTCATCACTTCTGCTATGACATGATGACGAAAAGAACAAAGGAATGCATGTGCAGTATAGCTTCAACATGAGTTCCAATGACCTCCTCTAATATGCCTTTAAGAGTATTTAGATCGACGACCTCTCTAATCATAGTATAATCATTATTGAATTTTATAAAAACATTCTTGAAGCTCTTGTTATTATTACCTGGAAGTCTCGTGATGGCACAGAACTTATGAGAATGATGACGATGAGATCTCGTGGCAAAACAGAGTCTCATAGTAATAAATATGACAAACAATAACGAGGGATGAGGATTAAGGATAATCTTAATTTTTAGAAAATAAAGGATGAATAAAGTAAAAAAAAAAGTTAGGTAAGAAAAAATAAAAACTTAAGATTTTTTCGAGAATTTTACCCAAATATAATTATTTTTTTTAAAAAAATGGAGAATAAATTTAATAGGATATGTGCAGCAGACATCCCTCTATTCGATGATATTTATAGTCACCCCCAAATAATGGACAACTATTCATTCTATCCTCGGATGTTTCCTATTCTCCCAATTCTATTTTATTCTATTCTCACCCAACCGATCATTGGCTGTCGATAATAAGAGAAAGAAGAAAACCCAATCGAACAAAGAAAAAGGAAAAGTAGAAGAGATTGAGGGAAACGAGGATATGACTCGCATTTTCAGCGGCTGCCTCGCCTTCCTCCTCAAGTTCTTCAATTTTCTCCAAGCCTTCGTCGGTATCTCAATCTTGATTTACTCCTTATGGTTGCTCAACCTCTGCCGTCGCCACGACTTTCCTCTCGATGTCGAGCATCTTCCCGCTCCATGGTAAATCATGCCTACCTTCCCTATTGATTCCTGATCTAATGCTTGTCTTTTGCCCAATGAGCCAGGTTTGTGTGTGTTTCGATGGGAGTAGGCATCTGCCTATGTTTGATCACGTTCATAGGGCATGTCGCCGCTGAAGCAATCAACGGTTGTTGTCTCTGCTTCGTATCCTGCTATTGATGTATGCTATTCTGCTTGAATGATTCATAATTGTGATGATATTTGTTTCACTTCCTTTGAAGTAATAGCATTTTGTTTGCTTATGTTTGTTAAAGATGCAATTTTCGTAATGCTTTACCATGAGTCGTCTACAATCTTTATATAATTTAGTTATTGATAGTGTTGTTGCAAATCTTCTTTCTTAGGAAGAAGAGCAACAACAAACTACTTGAGTATTTTGTTATTTTTGAGCTGGTTTGTCAAATGTTGATTAGGCCTGAAAGATATTTATGTGTTTGTGTGTAGTAAATATGCACTGACTGAAAATCTTTGATGGAAACTTTGCTTATTATTGACTTGATAACAACTTATCATCCATCGTAAAAGATAAAAAGTCATCAACATCAGTCTTTTGGTTATAACACTTCAAACTTCTAATCCTTTATTTAGGGGTGTTCAAATCGAATCGGAAAATCAAATCGAACCTGAATCGAACTGATTCAAAACCGGTTTGGGTCCCTGAACTGAATTGGTTTAAAATCGGTTCGATCCGAACCGATTCACCAATGATTCAGTTTTAAAGGCTATAAACAGTTCTCGTTCGGGGTACCCTTCTTTAGTTCGATTAACCAATTCAAACCGAACAAATTTTAGTTTAAAAGATATCAATCCGGCTGAGTTCACTGCCATAAGCCCTTAATCGGTTCAAACCAACTAATTTAACATACCCAAAGGTCCAATTTTACCAATGACGTGGGTTCGATTTTACAAATCTTGTTATGTCGTCTAATTGGACGAAGATTTTGATTCGGTTCAATTGAATCGAACTGGTTCATTTGAAATATATATATTTTAAATTATAGATTGATTAACCGGTTAATCGAACCAAAGTAACCGATTTTAAATCTGTTCCATTAGGTAACTCCGAATCAGTTCCGGTTCAGAGTACCTTATTTAACCAATTCGGAGTACCTTATGTAACCAAACCGAATTTAAAAAACGGTTTGGTTCGATCCTTAATGGTTCAGTTCAAACCGGTCTGAACACCCCTACCTCCGCTATTCTTCTTATTATTCTCCTTCATTTTTCTCCTCTCTTGTCTAATTCAGATTTATAAAAAGTACCCAAGAAGTGCATGCATATTGCATTGTTGCAAGGTTGTGGTCACTTATAAGATAATTTTGTGCATTTTTTGGTTAAATCCATACCTTATAAACATCATATGCCACTTTATATTCTAGTTATTAAGCTCTTATCACTTCGTTTTATTACCTTGTTCCTATCAACTTGCCTGTCTCATGATACAACACATTGGCCTTATATAGACCCATGGATACATTAGATATATTCAATTAAATATATTTCTCTTTTCTCTAGAAGGCTTCATATCTAAAAAACCCAACTTATATATTGTTCTACGTGCTATGAAGCTTTCTCATTTTTCAAGTATGTCTTTCCAAATCTCGTACAATTATGGTTGCATTAGAAGATGGGATTAGTTTAATCTCCAATACTCGTCCCCTTTGAACTTGTTCCATCCTGTAAACTAAATTTCATTGGTAGTTGTTGAAGTGTTTAATCTCCAATAATCTTTTTGTTTCTTGTAACTATAATTCTTGAATCATGTGATGCAGTAGTCCAACTTGTCTGAATGATGATCCATGAAGGATAACTTCACCATTTGCTTGTGTCATCACATCTTCACTTGTAATCGTAGCTTGCTTACATTGCTCTACATTATTCCAATTCCGAAACTAAACATCTCTTGTATAGCTGTAACAACTGAAATTCTCAACATAACTTAAAAGAATTCATTTTGGCTTTTGCCTTTTAAATTTTGCTATCTTCTGTTCTGGTATTTCAACATATACAATATTATCAAGAATTCTCAAATGATCACCTCTTGGGAAATACAATATTTTCAAGAAACATTTGTATCTGTCCAATGCTTAACTTTGTACGTCTTTCTTAACTGGCTAAATCTCAGTATACAATGTTGAGCACCACGTTGATTATACTAGAAGTAATTCTAGTTGGTGGTCTGGTTCTAAACAAGCACTGGGAAGAGGTAAAACCAATCACAATCAGTTTAAACTATAGAAAGGATCATCAATGTCATGTGCAATATGTCAATGTGTAATGCAGGACCTTCCATATGACTCTACTGGAGAACTAAAAAGGGTTCGTACATTTATAGAAGATAACATGGACACATGTAAATGGGTTGCTTTAGGAGTGATCATTATTCAGGTGAGCAGTGTTTTTCACCATGTATACTTCACTGTTATATTCCCTTTCTTGTCATGGTTAAAAATATTTATTTCCTTTGTTCTCATTGTAACTTACCCTTTTATTGTTTGTAGAGGTTCATACTGCCATTGGATTACTTTCATTTAAAAGCCTTACCATTGCTATTTGCTTACCATTACAACCATTGATTTCCTGTCTACCACTACTATGGCAATATTTATCATTCGTTAATATTTATCATTCATTGTCAAGTACGATAAAGATGAAAAGACATAGGGAGAGGAAAGCACAAAATTGGGTATAATTCCTAAAAATACGATGCTATCACGAACAGAAATATTATAAAATTCAGAACTAATTTTGCATGTTTTCTTTATTTATTTTTGTATAACTATACTTCATTTATATGATGACCAGAGAAGAAGTTGGGTTCCAGTGAAGTTTATCATTATCTTCGAAGTTACGTTTTGATAAGTTTTAGATATTTTATATATTAGTTTTCTTGTATAATACAATACAATTTATTTTATAATAAACATACAATAATTAATTCTAGTGGTTTTCCTATTTTTATTTTACTATCGTTAATTTTAATTTTAATTTATTTTTTTGAAAAATATACCCTAAATATGAAGATAAAAGAATACGCTAGCATAGCATATTATTTCCTCAAAATTTTTAATGATATTCTATATTTTAAGTATTATATATCTTTATACATATTAATTTAGTCTATTTTCTTAGTGAATTCCAATTCCTTTAATTCAATCCAACAATTGTATCGATTTCACTTGTATCATTCTAGCCCAAACCGAGGATTGATATTAACCTTGTGAACTTTAAATAGTGGAGCTATCTTCATGTGTAAATTTACAATCTTTGCATGCATTTCAATAGAAATTTCTTCTGAGAAAGCCTATTTGACATTCACTCTTATAAAGTGATAAAATTTTCATTTCTTTTCTTTAAATGAAGTAATAGCTGATGCGTAAACTGTATATAAATCCTATTTCCATTTATATTAGCATAATTAAAAAATGATATAAAATATAAAATCTGTTTATTTTTATCCATATTTTTATGTTTTTATAAGAAGTGGATATGGATTGGATTAGTTCTTGTGATGATGTTGTTGTTATGCAATAATGGTGATCTTTCACTAAATTTCCAAAACAAAATAGTTGATAGTCAAATCAAAATATAATTTGAAGCACCGGAAATACCTGCAAAGTCTTTGTATTCTCAAGCATTTCTTGTTCTCTTCAACAGGCACTGTCACTTCTATTGGCAATGGTGTTACGAGCCATGATTCCTTCTAGGAGGATGGAATATGACAGTGATGAGGATTTTGTTGTCATAAGGAGACCTCTTTTAAACCCACAGGGTGGCCCCCCTTATACCACAAATTCCATTGACAACAAAGGGCTTCACTCAGACATTTGGGGCTCAAGGATGAGACACAAGGTACTTTATTCCACCTTTTCTATCTTATGGTTCTGTTTCCCTTCGTCTACTCGTTCTTAATGCATTGACATGGTTGATGGGAACATGAATTGCTTTTGAGTTGGTTTGTGGTGTGTGGCAAAGAGTCAAATGGCTCACTACTTTCGTTGGTACACAGTATGGATTGAATCAGGGTGAGCTCACATGTAACACGGTGGATCCAGCGACACAATGCCCATGAATTGGTAGTGGAAGGCGCATTAGCATGAAGCGTTCGCCTCCTGTGACACATCCATTCTATGTATAGCTCTGGAATTGGGATCTCTGATGGCTCGCAGTTATCGTGCTATTGTTTCGCGTCGCTGTAATATGTGTTATAATCTTGGGCTGCACTGATCATGTAATTATTCGGAGAGAACCATTGGGCTATCGAGGACTGAGCATGCTTGCGACTTTTCTGTAACCTGCCATATCTTCTCTGCATTAATCTCTGTGACAGAAGTATGATTACGGTGTCTTGAGAGTCCAATGCTTGCGTCCAGCGTGGCCTTCCTCAATAATAAAACAGGCTTTCAATTCAAAGAGCGAAGATTAAGATATAAAGATAAGTTTATGTTTTTTTATAAATAAAATTTTATTTAAATATTTAAAATAGGGTTAAGGTTCATTGGTCATTTAATTTTTTATGATTTAATCGTATCTAAAATAACTTTTATATTTTAAAAAATATAGCATAAAAATTTCTCCTATCAAGTTTGAGTTAACAGATGTTATAATCTACATATGTTATAGTTTATTTACGTGACATGCTAACTCATAATAAATTATTAATGTAATGGCATGTGTAATTTAAGTTTAAATCAAATATCTATTTTTAAAAACGTAGCATATAAATCTCCCCCAGCAAGTCTAAGTTGACAGACATTAAAGTATGTTTACTCATAATAAATTATTAATATAATGACATATGTAATTTAAGTTAAAAAAAAAAAATCTTTCTTGTCGAGGAAGAGGAAGCTGCGGAGGTCGTAGCGGCTGACAAAGGCAGAGAGGCAAAGGTAAGAGAGGTTAGAGGTGAAGATGAGGAAGAGTTTGACCATCACGTCGTAGGCACAATGAGTGGGAGCGCAGGAGAAGACAAAATGAGAGGCGGTAGGGACGAAAATACCCAAGAGGAGAAAGAGGGATCAAGAGACTATTGCATGTATAATGTCAAACTAGTTGATGCACATCCACTTGAGACGGGATCAGAAGCTCATGAACTTGTTTTTAATGTAGGAAAGGATGTGTGCGTATGACACTCTGCTAGGTAGCAACGGGTCGGTGCTATTGCTAGTGGTCGCTTCCACAATGATGTCTCATTTTGTCATTATTTAATTTTTTAATTTGTAGTCTTAATATTTTAATTTAAATTATATGTGTTATTATATTAATGGTTTATTATGAGTCAGTATACCATGCAAGCAAACTCTAACGCTTGTTAATTCAGACTTAACATAAGGGGCTTATATATTATATTTTTAAAAACATAGAGATTATTTTAAATATGAGCAAAATCATAAGGGCTCTGGTCTATGATCAAAAACCACAAGGACTAAAATAAATTTTTTTAAACTTAAATTATATATGTTATTATATTAATAATTTATTATAGGTTAACATGTCATGTAAGCAAACTCTAACATAAGTTAACTCCGAGAGGAGTTTATATGTTATGTTTTTTAAAATATAAAGATTATTTTATACACGAGTAAATTATAAAAACTTAAGTGATCGATGATTAAAATCACAAGAGCTAAAATTGATCTCAATCCTTTAAAATTTTAGTCTAATTGTGATGTATAAAATCTATGGATCAAGGTTTGAAATTTTATTCGATGCATTTACATCTAAAATACTAATCTGATATGATGTATTAAAAACACTTAGTAGACATTCAGGAATCAAAATCTTATTCGATATTTTTTAACATTAGGATAGACACTTGTTTACCAACACATGTTGGAAGAGATGATCGGATAATGTTCATCTGCATTAAGCTTGATTAAATTGGAAAACATAGCAAAGAGCATCAGCTTCCGACAAATGTAGAGCTAATGATCTTTATAGTTGCAGAGGGAAGTGGAGCTCAAGCTAATTTGGTGGAGATGCTCCTTCGGCGGGCATTCGCCATGTTGTCCAGCTTCGTTTTAGCCGAAATTGCATGCCTGCCAACGATGGGAGGCCATGCACCTGAGCTCACCGCCATGTCTTTGAGGTGCTGCAGTCCTTCGAGAGTCTCGACCACCGTCGACATCTGAGGCCTGTCTTTTGGGTTAGGGCTGATGCATCGCAGTGCCAGCGACGCCACCTCACGAGATCCTTTGGTGGAGTAACTCCCTGCAAGCCTATGATCCATGATGCAGCGTAGTCTCCTGCTGCTGGTCAAGTAGGGCTTAGCCCAGTCCACCAGCTTCTCCTCGTTCTTGGGCTTCGTCTTGTCCATGGCTCTCCTTCCCGTTAACAGCTCCAGCAACACGACGCCGTAGCTATACACGTCGCTCTTGGTCGTCAAGTGCCCTGCATCAACGGATCACGAGACTTCCTGTTCGATCTATCAATGAGATGACTCCCGGATTAGTGACGGAAGATTCACCTGTCATGACGTACTCGGGAGCGGCGTAACCGTGAGTTCCCATCACCCTGGTCGTGACATGGGTGTCTTCGCCCTCGGGGCCCATCTTTGCCAGCCCGAAATCAGAGAGCTTTGCAGTGAAGTCCTGAAACCAGTCGAAGCTTCGCATGAGTTCATGGTGAGCGATTCTGATGACTCGTTAGAAGAGAAAGCTAAGCGATCACGAACATGATCCAGCAGGATATTAGAGGTCTTGAAGTCTCTGTAAATGACGGGCTTCTCGGCGCCGTGTAAGAAGGCGAGGCCCTTTGCAGCTCCAATCGCAATCTTTAGCCTCGTTCCCCATGACAGAGCCATGGATATCCCTGCTCTCGGATCATTGCTTCTACGTGAGAGGCTGAGACGAGCAATCGAGTCGGGAAAGACGAGGCCTTACTCCTAAAGAGATGGTTCTCGAGGCTGCCACGAGGCATGAATTCATAGACGAGGAGACGCTCCTCGTCCTCGCAGCAGTAGCCGATGAGCTTCACCAGATGCGGATGCCTGAACTGCCCCAGAAATATCACCTCTGCCTGCAGAGAAACATGCGGAGCATCATGGCGCAAGGCAAAGGTGAGGAGGAACAAGGGTTGAGTACAGGTGAGGAGTTGGGGGGGGGGGGGGGTTCACCAGCCATTCCCTGTGCCCCTGTAGCCCCTCGACATCCAAGAGCTTGACGGCGACGGCCTGAGCTTTGAGCCCGGGCCGCATCCTCTCGTCGATGTAGCCCTTATGCACGGTGCCGAAGCCGCCCTCCCCGAGCAAGAAGTTGCTGGAGAAGTCGTGCGTGATGGCCTTTAGCTCGCTCAGCTGGAAGGCGTACAGGCCCGCGCCGAACGAGTGCGAGAACTCGTCGTTGGCGTTCAACCGAGCCGAGCAGGGGCTGCTGCCGAGATCCGACGAGGAGAGACGGCGGAAGAACCGCAGCTCCGCCACCTTCTTGGAGAGGTCTGCTCGCGTCGGCCGGCAGCGGCTCAGGTTCCCCAACACCACGTGGTCGTCCGCGGTGCAGCACTTGCCGGCAGCGATCGGCCTCCATGGCCTCGGCATGGTGGATGGAGTTCACTGGCGAGGCAGAAGAAGCAGCTTGAGATGATCGACCGACGCGTACATTGGGGGATCGATGGCTCTCCTCTATTAAGAGCTACCGATCCCACGTCACCCAACTGCTCCAACCACTCCGCCATTAGCGCTGCATTCCTTTGCTTTTCTTTGGGTTGGTTGTGTGACTCCCTTCCTTTTTGTTCTGGAACTCGAGCTCATCACTCTTGTGTTTTCCTTTTGGTTTTACTGTGAGATGAGCAGTATCAGGATTGAAGTCTCTTTTGGTCCTCGATCTGTGGCGGGCAGGTGGACCAATTTGAGTGGTGTAGGCTTCCCAGGCCCCAAGCCAAAAGCAGCAGGAAGAGAGAGACATGCACGGATCTTTCTGACTGAATGGATTGGTTGAGACACGCAATAACAGCGTCCTACTCCTCAGTCAGACTCGCCAGTTCCTGATGACGGCCTCGTCGGCGTGTGCGTGGAACTGATCACGATACAGAGGAAGAAAGGTTGTGTGCGCGCCACTGTGGCTCGTGTCCTCCTGCGTAACCCATCTGTGTTTTCTTTCGAGTCTCGGCAGCTTCTCTCATCGACCACAAGACGTCTTTCCGCTGTCGCTTGTTAATACTCTGTGGGCTATCCATCTGACCACTCCACTAACGTCCCGCATCAGCCATGAGCTCGTGCCTATGGCTGTGATGGATGCACTTATTGGGGTGAATAATTGGTCATCCCAAATGAACGCAAGTATCTGCTTAATAATCGTCACCTATACTTGAAACCAGGAAGAATACATTTCAAGCAGTATACCAAGACCAAAGGCCGACCGTTCGTGAAATGATTCAATACAAACTAGTGAGCTAAATCGCAAGCATTAATACCGAGAAAACTACAATAACAACTAGCAAAAGGTTCATCGCACCAAAGTTTTGTGGTACCGAACTCGGCAAACTTGAGATGCAATACAAAGCACAAGTGAATTGGTAAGTACATCAAGCGTCGACAACAGGTCCGAAGCCACTGCATGTCAAAGCCCTCGAGCTTCACAAGCAACAAGAGCTTTCATCCAACCATACATTGCTCACAGGAAAATCGCGACATAAACAACCACTGATCGTCTCGTCAGAGCAGCCTATGTTTTACTTTGTAGCGGTCACACACTCACTGCCGATTCTCCCTCCGCCTAACATACCGAGTTCTGTCGTTGTATCTGGGTCTGTCTTGAGCTCTTTGGGGAACTGGTTCGACCCTCCTTTGCCTCTCAGGTGATCTTTGAACTATCTCTCCGTTAACAAATAATTCAGCTGAAAGAAAAAAAACAAATAATTCAGCTGCAAATATGGAAATCACCAAACATTTCATATAGGAAACAGGGAGAGTTATTTTTTCCTTCAAGTAAGCTTGCTGAAAGTAGACCAGCTATAGGGAATTGTACAAAAGTGTGTAACCAGCAACAAGAAAATAGGCAATTGTGTAACTTGGAATGCCCTTCTTCAAAGATGAATAAGGAATTTAAGCTTGCTCTGTGGCAGTAAAATCTTTATATCAGAAGGAAGCCTCTGTGGTTAATTTTACACAGATGACATGACACTACAGTGTTTGGGTGGCACTGAAAATAGAAGAAACAAATAACAGGGGTGGAGGAGAAACTAAAGGAAAAAATAAATAAAAGGAAAAAGGCAAGATAATGACCTAAAAACTATGAGAAACTTCAAATCAGCCATTTGATCCTTAAACACACTCTTAACCAGGGACATATAGGTCATGAATATCACGGAATCATGAGATGTGTTAGCAAAAATAGAATGGACATAAAATGGTTGCAAGCTTCCAGATAATTCAACTAAATGAATATTTATTCTTGTTTCTGTCAAAAGTCATATTAACTAGACTCCATAGTACACATACCAGAATAGATGAAGTATACAATTAGTATCTTTTGCATACATTCCACAGTTGTCATCTATAGACAATCCAAATTTATTCACAGAAGTCAAAACCAGCAAAGATTGACTAAAGTTCAAGCATTTCGTAGTAAGACATCTAAGAGTACCAAATATCCCTTTAAGTGGTAACACAATTTCAACATAATGGGGCTTGTCTTAGGATGTCAACTATTCTTAATCACATTCACGAACCAAAATACATTTATAAAAAAAGGTATCAATATTAAATGTCAGACTCTTGATATTTTTATTAACAAGAACAATCATTGAATAAATGCTGCTTGTTACTTTTAGTCATAACATATATTGGGACTAATTATAAATTACCCCCTGTAGTTAGCTACCTTTAGCATCCCGATCCTTACACTTTAAAAAGTTGTATTGACATCCCTATAATTATAAAAGTGAAATATTTATGTCCATTTGCCATAACGACATTAGTTTTACTGACGAAAACACAAAAAAAAGACAAAAAAGATAATTTTATTGTTTGGTGGCAGACGACGGTTGATAGTGACGTCGTTGGCATCGACGCTGACATAGACACAGTTGTCTGGCCACCTCCGACGACGATAAGGTCCGCGCTCACCGCGACACCACCCGCCTCTATGAGGAGCGCGCCGCCGACCTCATCGTCGCTCGTCCCGCGTCGCTCTACATCTGTATCAACGCCAATGCAGATGGTGGTGGTCGTCGTGACGTCAACGACAAAGATAGTGATTGCCTTGCCGTTGACCCGTTAGGCAGATTGTTGGAGCTCCTATCGCTTCCTCTGCTGCCGTGTTAGTTCCAACACCACCTCTTGCCAAGCGACCATTTCACCGTTCTACATTTGTGTCGATGTTCGACGTAGATGCAAAGTGGTGCCGACGTAGATGTAAAGTGGTGCCGCTTGGCATCTACGTTGGCACCAACGCAAATGCAACGCCCTCTCCAAGCTCGTGGAGAGGCTTCTTGTCTCCCCAGGTCGCTGCCCTATGGCAATTGCCACCACTCGCCTCTTCAACACCAGCACCCTCCGAGACTACGATGACGACAACCGCAACGTTGGCCTCGAGCGACGCCCCATCTCCCTCGTTGTTGCTCACCGTCACTGCACAGACTCATTCCCCTCTCTCCAAGGTAGCCGTCATCTCATTCCGTGTTAACTTCGTTCTCCCTCTCGGACCCCTTTTGCTCTCCCTGTCGTCGAGATGCTAAATCGAGGTTTTTGTGTGATGCAAAGGTGTTCGATCTGTTCAACCCAACGCGGAGCCTGAGTCATGTGCTCGATCGAATGGCCTGAGTTAGGTGTTGTATCGGCGCTAACGTAGATACAGAGTGACGCCGCTCGACAACTACATCAAGGCCGACGCAGATGCAAAGCGGTGAAAGGGTCACTCAACAAGAGGTGGTGCCAGAACTAACACAGTAGCGTGGGAAGAGGTAGGAGCTCCGACAACCGCAACTTCGGGTCGAGGCTGGGATTCGCCCAATGGGTCAACGACGAGGTGGCCACCATCTTCGTCGTAGATGTCACAGCGACCACCACTATTTGTATCGATGCAAACACAATTGTCGCTCAGCAACTACGTCACCGTCGACCCATATGCAAAGTGGCAGGCGGCGATAAGGTCAGTGGTGCGCTCCTTGTAGAGGCGAGTGGTGTTACAGTGAGAGCGGACCTTATCGTCGTCAAAGGCGATTAGGAAATTGCATCGGCGTCGGCGCCAGCGATGCCGCCATCCACCACCACCAACGCCATCGGTCATCGAACATTAAAACTTCCTTTTTTTCCCTTTGTTTTCGTGTTTCCGTCGATAAAACTAACGTCAATAGGATAAATGAACATAGATATTTTACTTTCATAAATATAGGGATGCTAATGTAACTTTTTAAAATCTAGAGACCGGGACGCTAAAGGTAACTAACTACAGGGGATAATATGTAATTAGCCCCATATATCAATAGCTTTAATTAAAGAGTAGCAAAAAAGCCTGCAATTAGCCTTTTTCTGGATTATTTTTAATGAGTCCTAAGTGATATTTGAATAACAAAAGAAACATAATTCACATGTCCCATCTTCACTGATCAGCAATGTTACTGACGAGAAGTGCAGAATTGTTAGAGAAAAAAATCAGTGTAAGTCCATTAGCATTCAAAGCAGAATGTTGCCTCACAAGGCTCTTCTGCTTTGTCAAGATGGGCTTGTTGTTATATATATGGAAAAAAAAAAATTTTTTGAAGAATAAGGAGAAAGATTTGGCCACACAATTACAAAGGAAAGGCCTCATCTGTCAAGAGCCAGCCAAAACTAAGATCATAGAGTAAAAAATAAGAAACTAAATGAGCTTAGACGAGCATGTGACCATACAACCAAATCTGTATGAACACAATAAAAAAAAAGCATAATATGATAATGGCTAAAAGATGCTTATAGGTATAACTTACCACCATAATCCTTGTTCTCAGCATCAACATAGGAATCTGGCAGCACAAAGAGAACACCAGGAAGACCTGTTATCACGACAGGACAATTGTTGTGACTCACATTTACTATATACGGCATAAATGCTCTGGATATTAACCCAAAATTTGCAAGAAATAATGTAAGCCAACTCTGAGATATAACAGGCTTTTCAACATAATATCCCCTCAATATATACATTTGCAAGCAATTAAGTACACAGAGGCCATTGCAAACACAAGAACTCTTACTTCTCGACAGACTAGAGAGTCGGCAATAGTTACATAAAGACAACAGAGGCTCCCCATGCAGGATTAACGTCATGATAACACTACCAATGAATGTGTCATCTATGACCCTTAACATCCACTAGAGCATGTTGGCGACTCATAAGCTTCATTTACCCAAAATGTAAACTACGAACTGGTTCATTCTACAGAATAATGAAGCTGACCTTCGAGCTTGTTGGATGTTTCCTCATCGATTTCACATCCAAACCCAAAGTAGCGCTCACAGGATACATTGTAAATCCTCCTTTTCGCTTCCTCCTCACTAGCTTAACACAAAACAAGTAAAGGACAAAAGATAAGATATCGAAAACCAAGATTAAAAAGGAACGAATGCAACAAAACAAAGGAAAGAAGGAAATTGCAATTTTTCGCCGTGTTGTACTGTTTCAATGGAAGTTTCAAACAAGACTACGAAGGAGAAACCCCTAAACGGGAACAACACACTAAAGAAGAAATAAGGAAAATGGGAAGAAAAGAACAAATACGACGACATCTAACAGGCATCGTACCTGCCGACGACCTTCGCTAGGGTTTGGATGTAGCAATCAATCATCTGTTGCTTGGTGGCCCCCTCGCCTCCGGGCTTGTCCATAACAATGAGCCAGTGCTCATAGTCACAGCCTGGAAACAGCGGCGGCATCTCTGTCGGCGGTCGGTCGCTGAACCCGGAACCGCCACGTGACCCGGCGGTAACGGGCGAGTAGGACGAGTTGCCGGCCCGACGAACCATGCACCGGCGGGACGCACCGATGGGAACGAGGGGGGTTCCGGCTGACGCCAAGCGGAGGAAGCGTTTAGAGCGGGTGAGGGTGATGAGAGAGCGTGAGCCGAGGAAGGGCGACGACACGACAGCGGCGGAGACGGCCATAGGTGGCCAAGAACGAAGCGGACGGGCACGGGACAACCTAATCTTGATGAGCTCAGAGAAGAATGATATTTACACGGTTGTGTGGTGGTGGGGCCGGTCGTTAACAAATAGGTTTTCGGATATTTTAATTGCACTTATCCAAAAATGCTTGTGTCGTAACAACGTAAAAGCATCTTAATAAAATCAGATATTGTACAATTCTTTCCCCCTTCTTTTACTTTCTTACACACTTCTTAACAAATGATTGGTGTAGACAAATCACCCACTTACAATAATACACTATTTTAATTTGTTGTGCTAAACAATTAACGCTATTTCTTTGGCATATGATCGTGTCAAATGGTATGTATATTATGCTTTAAGGCATTTGCACAGTCATTCAGAAAGCACGTATTTTTAATCCACTTAAGAAATCTTATTCATCCAAGTTAGCTTTTGAGAGTATTAGGACCCATCGAGAATTCATCACAGTGAACATGTACAACATATGCTATTGCAATGTCTTCTAATACATTCTGAGATATTGCAGAAACTATAAAGAACAAGTAGTATTAGATGCATCTTTCTCATTCCTCACAACTACTTCAATTCTTTTAAAACCATCTTGTTGTGAAAGGAATAAAGTAGATGCTCTGATCATTGACTTGTCAACATACCACTCGTAATGAAACACACAAATCACTGCTCAACTTTTCTTTGCAAGAAACTTATACTTGGGCGTAACAATTACAATAAGCTAAGATGAAGGAAATTGTAAATAAGTTCTATGGGAAATTGTAAATATCAGAAGCTCAAAGACCAAATGCAACTCTCTGCACAAAATCTGGTCTTTTTTTGCTAGGCATCCGGAATAGGCCTGCAATTTGGAGTTCGATAACAGCTCTGCAGAATCTTGCTCTGAGAAAAACCACGTTAAGGAAAAGATGGAAACCATGTTAAAAAATCACTTCACTTCCAAATAATATACAAAAGCAATGGCTTTCACATCTATTCCAAGGTAAACAACATTTTGGAAAGTAGAAAGTATGATCTAAGCAGCTTTGAACTAAATTACCTACAGTGAATGAGTTTATAGAAGTATAATTTATGGAAAATATAAATGCTCTTATTCACAAAATGATGATGTGTAGGAAGTGTTTGTTGCTTCTATGCAGCACTCAAAGACACCTATATCCTAATAGACGACACATCATACCAACCTGGATATGTTGCCCTGTAGGTATCAAATACGCAGACTAAAAAGTAATATTTTCCTTGCCACAATATGCATTCTAAGATCATACTCCATTTCTCAAATTAATAAAAGCATAGGATACTGAATTGAAGCTTCACTTTCTGAAGGAGAAGATTTCACTTTTTTGGACATTGGTGAATGTTGCAATGGACATTTGAGTTTATTAGTGCCCAAAACTGTTGACTTGAAAGAATGGTACCAATCCTGAAGATTTACAAGGTCACCATGCTCCTGGGCTAGATTGTACCTGCAAACAGAGTCACCTGTTATATATCAGATGAAGCAGCTTATTGCACAATACAGACCCGTTTGCCAGACTCATTCTTAGAACTTAGAAGTGGTTTCCTGACACAAAGGTAAAATTGAGGATTTTCTTTTTAAGAATAATATAAAATTAGTCTTTACTCCTTATCATCACAGAAGCTAAGGTAGTTTCAGCATAGGGACCTACAGCTTATTGTCAACATGGAAGAAATAATCTGATTGGACATGATAGAAAAGATATAACCAAAGGGGCACAACATCTTACATAACCGATGTATCATGCATAGTTGGTGATAACACATTCTCATTACCGCTGCAGCAACTGCACTTAATATAGGTTGTGGACTTCATAAGATCAACTTGAATGTTTCTCCTTGGATTGCCAATTAAAGCCTGAGGACAAAAACAAAATGTTATCATAAGACAAGTATCTCTTTATATTACTATATTAGAAGACAAAATTCAAACCATTTCTGCAACTCTTGAAGCTCCCACAGCAGTTAAGAAGTAATTGTAGCACAATATCGAGGGTCCTAAAGCTAGAAAACTGTAAATTTTCACTTAGAGAAATGATGAATCTCAATGCTCAGTTGCTAGAGTATAATCTCATAAGCAATTTCAGGAATGTGTACAGTTAGTGCACAACCTTCTAGCTGACCAAAAATTAAATCACATTATTTAAGACCATCCAGTCCAATTTCTCATTATGCCTAGAACTTATATTTATCACAAAAATAGGTATCTTCACTCATCAATATTGCTGCTAAACTTTGCCTCCACTGCTGTACTGCCACTCAATACTAAAGATGATGCTGGATCAAGAGTTCATAATGAGACAACAAGGTGATATTCCACCAAGACACAATATGACATGAAGCCTTCATGTTGTTTTGTAGAATAAAACCCTAATCTTCCAAGTCATGAAGGAGCAAATTTACCACTGTATCAAAGATCGATTCACATGAACACACCCTAATCTTAGATCTTTTTTTTTTAATTTTTGTGAACTTGTTTCTTCCGATAGATGATTAGCCATGTCAATGTTTGGCATGTGCAACTCCTTAAAACCTTGAGTGGAAGTCCAAAACTAAATTGAATAGCAGAAAGCAAGGATACAACATTACATGAAACAATGCTACATTGACTTAAATACATGGTTTGCAATACTGTACCATACCACTCGATACGAGCAGTACGTACCGATCTGATAGAGAACCGGTACTGTTGGTACATTGGTACACTTTAGTATACCATGTGTCAGTATAGCTCGGTACAGCTTGATACATACCGTACTAACAGCTGATCGGTCCATCAATACGGTACCGTATTTAGAACCTTGCTCAAATATATATTTGAAAATTCAGTCATATTATGATTAGTAGAGACATTCTCTAAACAAACTATTCACTTAACAATAAGCAAGTCAGTCATTAATCAAAGTCATGATCAAAGATTTTAATTGAAAGTTAGTAGAAAAAAGTTGGCGTGCAATAAAGTGGAGAACAAAGAACTTACTGATTGCAGAATATCAACATTTCTGAAGCAAATAATTTCATGAAAACATAAACACTCGATTGGCATCAAAAACTTCCTGCAGTGGAAAACACAAATGTTGATACTATATAAACTACTTGGATAAAGGCTAATAGATATACTAAAAAATTGAGACATGCCAAAAGAATCTTTATTAAGAAAGAAATCATACACTTCAGGTTACTGAAGTTCCATCACTATATTAGAGATGAATAAATCGCATGCACCTAACCAGTCCTAATTTTCTTTTTGTATTACATACTTGCTCTAAATTTAAGTTTTAGCATATATATCCTTGCAAGACTGACAAACTTGCAGATGCCATAGTTTTAATATCCATTGATTAAACCATATAATGGCATATAAAATCCAAGCCATCATGGGCAGATTCTCTGCAAGTTCCAACGTCTCCTGTGATGTGATCAGTGTCAACTCAAATCCCCAACTCTCTTATAATATTTGATGTAAGCCTTTGAATATCTATTTGGCCTCTGGTATGCAATGAAAACAGGAGGACAAAAGGAAAGGAAAACCTACTACGATGAAGGGGAAGAAAAAGCAAGAGGACTATGCTCTGTATACAAGATATTACCAATTTCCAATTGATCTTTTCAATATAAAATCACCTGCCCGGAAACATTACAAGAAGCTCGCAAATGCTACAGTCATGTAGACAAAGGCAGTTGCGAACAACCATACCTGACCATGTTATCCAATAAAGCAGCTGCTTTACCATTAACCGAGAGTGATGTCCTTCCCGCACACAAAGACATTGACATCCTATAAGACATACATATAATGTCAGCTTCAGTAAAAAGCATTTCTTAAGGTTCTGCAATCACTCTGATGATATTCATCTGCTTCGAGGGTGAGCATTTGAAGGTCAAGAAGTCAATTAAGCTTAAGTAAAAACTTACCTATGGCAATCAATCTGTCTGTCTTTCAAGTTGTTCCCACCGTTTGAAGATTTTACTACTGATTGTAGCTCTCTGACTTCTCCATGAACCTGGAGAAACAGTAGTAAAAATTGAACATTATTAACAATACCCAGGATTTGAAAAGCTAAGACTGTCAATAACAGTGTTCTAGGATAATAAATGTGGCAAGATAACTGGAAATTCCAAATATTTTTTCAGCAACAGATCAAGCAAAGAATCTTGTATAACTAGACACAATAAGAAGCAAATATATTCTTTAAACCAACTAGACACAGTAAGAAGCAAATATATTCTTTAAAGTTTAAACATCTTCAAGCATTAGGTTCTATGTTCAAAAGTCAATTTGCCCACATCCCACAATACTTTGCACCTTCTTGCGTGTTGGTTGATTTATTTATATTCTGCCAAAAACATTATAGCCAAGAGTACACAAAACAGGTTGTCGAAGCCACAAACATAAAGTTCACCTCCCCTAAAATATATTCTATGTAAACCCTTATTTCCCATACTAGTTAAATCAATTGTCCAGGGTGCATGTCCTTTTTTTTTTTCTCACCTGATGACAGTCCATTAGAATGTCAATGAAATTAATTGAATGAATTTCTTCATAGTAAATAAGGCTCGTAGTCTGGAGAGTCAGGGTCTGCCGTACCGAGCCGTACCACCCGGTACGGGCGGTATGTACCGGTCCGAGAGTACTGTAGCACTGTAGTAATGTACTGTAGCACTATAGCAGTACACTGTAGCACTGTAGCAGTGCTACAGTACTCGGTACACCCGAGTGTACCACTCGATATACCGTACCGTACCAGTACCGAGCCCAGATCGAAATACCGGTACGGTACGATATTGCGAACCTTGCTTGAGACCATGATCACCTTAAAGTGAGCATATCAAGCCTATGAACAATGTGTTTCAGAGATTCAGGAATGAAGCTTATCATGCAACAAAATAATTTCTTCAACTAGTCCTTTGAGAAGTATTCCAAAGCAAATGAGTGTATATTCTGACATTTACAAAAGAAAGTGAATTAGAATAACTGAGCCTCCCAGTAATTAAGAATATGCTCCTAATTCATGGTTCTCCAACATATTTTTCTTTGATAATACAACAACAAGCCACAAAATCCCAACTATTTGGGATCACCTACATGGATCTTTTTCCACTATTTTGCTCTACACAAATAACATCCTTAGCTAAATCATGAGCATCTAAATCTTTTAGTTGTGCTCTTTAATAATGCTTATATTTAAATTTCAAAAATATGCTACTAAGTAAGATTGATAAATCGAGTGTCCTGCAGGATAATTGTTTTTGTTCCTTGGCTATTGAGCTTTATACAAGATAATTATACTTGATTGATAAATCAAGTACAATTCCTTTTTCCACTATTGAGCCCTATACAAGTTGTATCCTTAGCTAAATCAAGAGAATCTAAATCTTTGAGTTGTGCTATTTAAAAATGCTTACATTTAAATTTCATAACCTGAAAATAAGATTGATAAATCAAGTATCCTGTGAAAAAACTGTATTTATTTCTTGGCTATTGAGCTCTGTACAAGTAATAGAGTATAATTCCTTTTTCCAATATTGAGCTCTACACAAGTAATATCCTTTGCTAAATCAAGAGCATCTAAATCTTTGAGTTGTGCTCTTTAATAATGCTTACACTTAGATTTCATAATCTGCCAGTATGTAAGATTGATAAATCGAGTATCCTGCAAAATAGTTGTATTTATTCCTTGGTGTCACAGATAATTGGATTGCATTTTCAGTCTTTAAGGTAGAATAAAAACAGACAACAATAACCTGGAGTCAGATAAGAGAACTTAGAACTAGAACCATCCAAAAGAACTATTTTACAACTATAATCATCAATCTCATCTGAAATAGTAATCAACCTACTGAACATGACAAGTCAAAAGATGAAAATCAATCAGAAGTTACTAAATTAGTACACATTAGCAACTTATCTAAGCACCTTGTTCCATCGTCATAGTTATTCTTTTGTGAACCTCTTCATGTTGTTCTACTAATGAATGCATTGGATTTTTTATTTCCAACCATCTCACGTTAACAAGACACCACAAGGTATTCAATTTTAACATGATTTACTAGAACTAACTATTGTTGATGAAAGCAGATAAAAAAACATTACTTTTTTGAAAGAATTCAATCATACCTCACACAATTCCTCTGTGTGGATACTCCATGAGTCAAGCAACTTAATTAGCGATGATAAAGGGAGTTCTCTGATCAAATAGAAACAAATTTAAAACATTTCAAATAGGTCTAAATCAATATGGGAAAAGTTAACCATAAACAATGTCTGCACTTTCAAAGATCAAAGGCCAAGTAAGTGCTACTCCAACCTTTATGACAAAACATTTAAGGATAAAAGGAGTGAAGTATGAAATGCATATAGAGACCGAGAGAAACTGCAGGACGACGTTTTCTGGTGGCAGAAATTCAGAAAAAATGCAATCTCTTTTTTGCCATAGACAGTGACTCATTTTGAGTCCAATGTATAACTACTATACAATTAGAACTTGGCCAACTACTAAATTATGTTTCATCAATGAGAAGATAAAGGCTAAGAGCAAAGTTGTATTGTAAGGAAGAACACTAGATGTATTCGACACAATACATACCTCACTGTATGTATTAACTGACCAATAAGTCCCCCTTTAAAATCTAACCTTCCTTCTGCTAGATTCTGACCATTGAATGACCTTTCCAATTTATGATTTGAAGGATCTAGGCTACTCAATGTCGGGTCAGTGGCCTCACAGAAAATGTCAAGTAGTTGTATCTTGTTGTGCTTTCCAACTTCATATAAGCACTGACAAATCAGGTGAAGAAAAAGAAAGGCTGATGTCATTATATTAGTAGCTGTTAAGTCAAGCATCATATGTGAAAAAGCATATTTTGTACCAATGTGTGACGAGCCTAGAATAGGGTCACTGTAACTGAAAGTGGTTGACACTTTTCTCAGATGAAAAGCACATGCATGGGTTTTTATTCGTTATACTTCAGCTTTACAGTAAAAATATCAGAATAGTCAACTTGGAAAAACACTTTACAAAATATTCAATTAAACATAGAATATATTTGATAAGATTTGAAAAAAAAATGAATATGAGATAGGTCATAAATTCGTATTCAAATTAATAAAAAGAAAGAAATTGGATCACCACGATGCATATGAAATATAAGTCAACATAAACTTCAAGCCAATCAATTGCTCATTCCTCGATAAAGGAGAGTTGCCACATTGATGTCCAACAAACCATAATAATGCATAACAATAAGTTCTTAAATCTAGATGGTAAAATTGCTATAGATTCTCATGTTGTGCCAATAGATGGCTACATAAGCAAGCGCATACGAAAAGTCATCCTACAAGCAAATGAACACATACAAATAAACAAACTACTAGATAATGGATTCCAGACGCTTACTACGATTTAAGATGTCAAACAACCATAATATTAGTTCCCTTTTATTAGAATTTTTTTTTTACTTTCATGTTACTATTATAAAGGGTTGGGTCATTGTGGACATGATAAATGGGTAAGATATATGACAACAACAGCAACAAGCCAGTTACATAGATCTTTTCCTACCATTGAGTTCCGTCTAGCTATTGTGGGGAAGATGATATATATTAAATCAGAGAAGGGGAACCATCAACTAGTGTATATTCATAGAAATGCATGGACAACTAAAAAATAAAATAATAAAAGCCTACCAAGATGACAGAACTCCAAGCCTTGAGCAGCTTCCTTAGATCAGATAACCCTTCTCCAAGATCATCTCTACTATTCTTGCAATCTTTTCCCCTAATATGAGCATCTAAAAGTTCAAAACAAGAAAACTTCTGTATACTTATTGATGATAGAAAGAGAACAAGTCGGTTACATGTTTACACCTTTTACAAGATGGAAGATTAAAAGCATATTTAAGCAAAGAGTCAGGTAGTGCATCACACTTGCCATGTAAGAAAACCTGCAGACACAAAATAGTTAAATAGGGAAGAAGATCTTACCACAAAGTATCAAAATTAGGGTCCACAAATTGAAAGAAACTGATTATAAAGCTAATAACTAATCAGGTCCAGTTACATAGACTACATATCATTAACTATTGTTTATCTATCAGAACTTATAACAGATTCATAAATCAAATTCAGCATTTTCAAATTTTAACCTTTTGCACTAACTGACAAAAGATCCCTCATCAGAAGTTCAGTCAGTAAACCACTATTTACAAGAAAAGGACCAACTGTACAAGAGAAGATAAAGTATCACCTGATTTTCATCAAGTATGTCAATGCCCAAAAAACTCAGAGGCTCCATAGAGAAATGTTTCACGCATGCAAGCTGCAGGAAGAAGATATATATCATGTGTGCATGAAGCCTATAAGGTATATATCATGGCTCATATTTACAAAATAGATTTCTGCAGCATTACTATCTACCTTTAGAGCCCTCACGAAAGAAGTAATTGTCCCATCATGTCCAAGAAAATAGTTCCTCATGAAGACTGCAACATTGTGACCAATGTTGAATCCAAAAGATGGCTTTACAAGAACAGCCTCCACTAGAGCATTCATTCTCTCAAGTGGCGATCCCAATGTGAACTTAGAAGACTGCAAGTGTTGCAATGCATCTGAAGGAAGAAGCTTCTTAGCTGTGTCGGTTGTTGCCACCCCCATTATAAAGATGACTGGAAGCTTGATTACCCACTCGCTACAAATAATAGCTTTACAAATCAAAATCAGCTAAATATGCCCTGTAGGCTTAGTTGACTAAGTTGTACGACACTATCTTTATAACATAAAAGATAAAGACATATATACATCGACAAATAAGGACTCATGAATATGTACATGCAACACATAACTACATGGATGCGTAAATTGACAAATAAAAACAAAATTGTATGAGGGTGCAGTCACAAACATAAAATTGGCGGGAATCAACAACTCAATTCGGTAAGCTACAGTCACAAACACGACAAGAAAAGGGTAGAATCAGCAATCCAATTTGGTGCTACAATTCAAAGAAGCATTTAATGAAGAGAGCAACATGTGCATAAAAAAGTCAAAACTGCAAGTGTTGACCCAGCGGTAGACATATCTGTTATACAAGACACTGAGCAAGAATCACTACAGGTAAGGCTTATATTCCATGAGTGGAATAAACACATCTTCATAGTAACAAATAATTTTGATCATGGTTCGTCTTACCGGTCCATACCGGTATATTGACTGATTGTCAAAACGATAAGTACCAAGTCGTACCAAGCATACCGACACATGGTACATGAGAGTGTACCGATGTATCGCCTATATCGATCCCCTATTAGACCAGTACGTACCACCCATACCAAGCGGTACATTGCAATATGGTGAACCTTGTTTTTGATGATGACTCTTACAAATGTATCATCATGGGACTGTTTGGAAATACTTGTGCATGTCGTAGATCTATTGATAACAAGACTGTGAGGTTGAACTTTAAAAATAGTATGGAGGTAAGCATCGGCAGAGGCACCATTAAAATAATGGAGCCATAATAGTACATCTAATACAAATAAACTTCAAGTGGGACTGAATTTGAGACCTGGAGAAGTAAATATAGTTACTTTGAATAAGAAATACACAACTGACATAAGCTAAAATCAGTTTTATGTGAATAAAATTCAGAGGCTCACTTGATGTAGTTCTGACCAACAAGCTTTTAAGATAAGCATTCTGACAACTGATACTCTAAATTTTATGTGAAAAAAATTCAGAGGCTCACCTATGTAGTTCTCTGACCAACAAGCTTTTAAGAGAAGCATTCTGATAACTGATATGCTGTAAGATTCTAAATATTAAAATTTGAACTTGAAAGATATGGCGTGAAAGGGCTGATATGAGACTAAAAGACAAATTGAGGATACCGACATAGATGTGATGCCCAAGCAGGAAAAGTATATAGCAAGATGAGTAGGCCAAGAAACAATAGACAATTCACAAAGTCCTTACAAATTGATGAGGACTAATTAAGATGGTACAGTAATATGCTATGAAGATTTAAGGTGGCTTTAACATGGGTGAAGAGTACAAAATCGGAGAACAATTCAAATGAATGGTTACAATCTTCTTAGTCCTTATTTTCAAGATTATATATGTAATGTTAGTTCGACCCATCTTCCATCCATTCCCAAATTTTGATAATAACCTTATTTTAAAAAAAAAAAAACAAGGGAAACACAAAGATCTTTCAATTGTTAAGACACTGCATAAATTGGTACTAAGTGTATCTTCAGATCTCTCATGAACTAAGCCATATGATATATACTGATCACTTGACCCAAATACAACAATAATCAAATGCTTCTGCTTAACTTCTTTTTCATCTTTTCTCTATGTAGCACATAAAAACCTATAAATATCTTGCTTTAAGGATCAACAATAGAACTCAAAACTAGCAGAAACCATCCAGTAATTGGCTGATATAGTTATGCTGTCCATCTCCATGGTTATATATTTAAATTACTAGATTTTGAGGTGTACCTCAAATAAAAACATGGGAAATATATTATGCATTACCCTATTTTAAATAGAGAAGATATAGGAATGTATTATCAGTTCCTTACAGAGGGAAAGATGATCTTTTAAGCCTCATAATATCTAAAGGTTATGTCAAGTATAAATGTGGCAAAACAATTTTTTCATAGCTATCTAAATAAGAAAGACAAGGAATTGAGTTAACATTTATTGTTAATGGTAAAGCTGATGACCATCCACATCACTGCAGTGGTAGTAAAATTTACATAAGAGGCTAGAATACCTTAGCAGTCTAATAAAGTCAGCAAGAATGGCACCACTGCATCGCTCCATATCATCAATTACAATGATCACTGGGTGATCATAATTTTCAGGCTCACAGTACCACGAGGACAGTACAGACATATCTGCCATCTTTTCACCAACAAATCATACAAAGAACTTATGTGGATTAGAAAACAATTCAGGGTGAACTCATTGAACAAAAAATTGAAAAACAATAGAATCTCTTACATCAGGAGCATCCATAACTAACTGCCTAAGCAAACTTCTCAAGCAACCAGCAATGCCATCCTTCGCACAGAAATCCATTGCTGAGAGGTTAGCAATGTGGCATCCCTTAGATTTCAAATGCTCCCCAAGTTCTTGAAATGTTAGCATATCATCGACAAATTCAGCATTCTCTACACAAATATAATCCAATTAGCACAAAACCCCTAAAGGGAACGATCTGCTCCACAGAAACAAAAGCCGCAAATAGTTAGCACTTACTCGTAAGTATCATTGCCGTTGGTATCTGTTTGCATATAACGTCATCTAGAAGTGGATACGGGGTCTGGATTTCGAATGCATTTCTTGGTTTGCCGGATTTAAGGGCTAAAAATGATTCGAGAGCCCACTGGTGCACTTCAGCAAACAGATTGCGGTGAACTCGCGTCAGAACCTCCTAAAGAGACGGAGGAAGGGGGAAGATAAAATCAAGCACGGATAACCAATCGAATTAGTGAAACTGAAAAGAATGAAACCTTGATAGTGGTGTCAATCTTGGACCAGGTCATATCAAAAGCCTCGAGGCGGAGCCGCTCGTAGTTCGCGTCATTTGGTCCGACGGAAGAAGCGACAGCATCTGACTTCTCAGGCGATTTCGGGGACGAAGGGGGTAGATCGATCTTCCTTCTAGTTCTTGTGGATCCGGCTGCCTTCCTATCGCATTTCTGAGGCAATGCTTTGTGGAGAACGAAGAAGGGCTGGAGAGAGAGGGGGAGGGCATACGAGTGTCAAAGAAAGACAGAGAGTATGAGAGAGAGAGAGAGAGAGAGAGAGAGAGAGAGAGAGAGGCGAACCTGGAGAGCGTTGTCATCGGTTGTGTCGTCGGCGATGGGGGAAGACGGAGGCATGGAGATGGGCGATGGCGACATTCCTTTGGAGCGGTAGGTTTCGCGACCTTTCGAATCTGTACTCCCTTTAAAAAAAAAATTCCTCATTTTAATTAAAAAGAAAATGACAAATTTAAAAAAAAAAACCTCAAATTGTTATTTATTTTCAGTTACCATCTTTTTATAAAATATAAGATTATCCCTAATCTCGTCATAATTGGGTTACCTGTATGCTCACCATTATCAATATAAGGTATGGGTTACCTCTATGCTCACCATGATCAATCTTGTCATAATTGGCTTATTTATACTGTAGGATTCTTTAGCTCTCATTGAGATATCGATATCGATGCCCTTGAGTTCTAACTTGTGATATCGATGCCCTTGAGTTCTAACTTGTGATATGATTAACCTTAGTATTTGTTTCGACTTCATACGATAATAATTCAATGATATATTTATGAATATTATCATTACCAACAAACGGATGATGATATTTGAAGTACACTCCGAATGCGTATGGCGTGGATCGATCAGGACCGTCCACATGTCTTCTCTTGTGTTCAAGCTTACGCCCGGCCCGTCACGATCACTGGCCTGTCGTGAAAAGTACTTGTCGTCATTATAATACGATTGATTGATCTGATCTCCCCGTCTTCCCCCTCCAATTCGTCTTATCCAAGTGACCTAAGGTTTATGAATCGCCTCTTTATTTTAAACGCATCTCCAACCACTCTCTGAATCGCCCGTCGCAGCTACCTTGCTTCTCTTTCGCTCGTTCATCGATCTGTAATTATGGGTCAGATCCTTGCGGTTGTACAAGAAAAGTTCCACGGTAATACCTCAGATTTCTCTTCTTCTTGTCGTTGGCGATGATGCATGTTTCAGGTGAACCTGTGTGCAGGGAAACAATGGAAGGAGAAGCAGATTCGGAAGATAACCGATCGGGTCTTCGACCACATCAGAGACGAGAGCTCCGACTCCAGGGACGGCCTCACCTTTGAGGACGTCTACATCGCCGTCCTCTGCGTCTTCAAGTAAGTAAACCCCCTTCCGCCCCCCTTTTATCCTTTCTTCTCTTGATGCTCCTGACGCTTTTGTGGTGTTTGTTCTTGTGTGTCTGGTTTGCTCAAGTGACATCAACAAGCACCTGCCTGGGCCCCACCACGATCCGCCCACCAAGGACAAGCTGAGATCCTTGATGAAGGTTCGTAACACGCCATCGCCGTTCATATTAGTCTATTTTTTCGACGATAGATGGCATCGCGTTTCTTTTCCTTTATTTTTCGATGCCAGGGATCCTCAATTTACGCGATGTTACCACAGGGAAATTCTTAAGAGGAGAGTGTGTACAAGCATACATGTGTATAGCCATACATTAGAGGGTATAAAGGTGGAGAAATTATGCAATAATATATCTTTTTGTAACAAAAATTAAAGAAAGAAATAAAGGAGAAAACTTTTACGAATGGTGAGAGGACCCTTCTCTCGAGTGAGGCCTAGACAGTAGTTGGATTCAAGATCTATTGAATCTGGACAAAGCCACAAAGCTTTTTTGCAGGTCTCATGAAAGATATTCAAAGTCTCACAAGTGAAAACAGGTATGCCTAGATTGGGATATTGCACGTTGGGAAATTTAAATTAATACTGTCATGCGGAGAGGAAAATTTTTTGATAGAAAAGCTTGGAACAATCCATGAAAATTTTTCCTTACTCGCCTTTTCATCTCATCAAGGAGAGGAAAATTAGTCTTATTTTTTTCACTTTTTATTATAACTATTTTATTTTCCCTTTCATCAGTTTCCAGAATGATCTATTTAATTAGTTTGCCACCTGCAAATACTGAAAGCAATGTCATTCTAAGAACTTGCTATAGATGTTTCTCTAGTCTTCTTTTAAGTTTAAACTGGAAAAGGACAAGGTACTAGTTTTGAGGAATCTAGCAATATATAGTGTTATATTTTTATTTATTCTAAAAGCAGAAGGTCCAAAAGATACAAGCCTGTCAGTAGTCTTGTATCATAGACAATCTGCTATCCATAGTCATGATTTCATATGGATTTTGCTTACTGAGATTGGATGACACTACTGCTGTTTCCATGTAGACCATGGGGCGTCATATTGGAATAGGGGTTTTCATGACATAAATCAAACCTATGCATCTTAAGAAGCATTTATTCTAAGCTCAGGATAGTCCAGATGTGGCAATCTGCCAATTCAGTGACTGGTGTGCTGCTAGCTGTTTCTGGTTTACGTTCTTTTAATGCAAGTTTCTGGTTGTTCATGATGACTTGGCTTTGTTGCTTTAAACATGATATTTGTGTTTACAATAGGGAATCCTAATATTTCCGCATAGAAATGTTTAGAAATGTATGTGAAGGACTTTTATCTTCTTCTTCCTAGTGGGTTTTGCTATTAGTTCCAATTTCAGTGTGTGATACTGCTGGGCATACATAAACCTCATTAGACAAGGATACTTTCCTTTTCTACCTGAATACTATTTGTGTTTCTTTGAAATCCTATTACTGTGAATCTCTTTCCAGTTACTGATTGAGGTGCATATGGATCAAAATTGGACATAAGCAACATTTATATGCAGTTGTCAAAAGCAATATTGCAGTTTCGAGTCCGATCTATATTGGTCCGTATGTACCAAGGTAGGTACCAAGAAGGGGGACAAGGATATTCATCACTGCCCATCGTTGGGTCGATGGGCAAGTGTAGCTACAGCATGGCCACAGAGCTTTGCAACTCATGAGTGTGTGCGATTCATGTCTGCATGCTAACCCCTAAGTGACAATGCTTAAAAAATATAAACCCAACTAGATCGCTTGAAAAGGGATGGTTTGCATTCTGATTCATGCTCAGATTAGTAAATATTGATCAACACAAATGAGTGTGGGTGAAATCACATCCCATGATCAAAAGTACTAACTAATCACTTCTTAAAAGGGAATTCTACAGTATTTTTGCTCTCTTGTACATAGAGGAGGAAAGATTGGATATTCAGAAAAAAAGAAGGAAAAAATAAGAGAATTTTTTAAGGTCATTATATATATGCTGGTAAGGTGTTGCAAACCTATAAGCAATAACTATTGTTAAGAGTTTAAGGTGATTGTGATCAAGAGCACTTGTATCCTAAGACTGCAAATATATTAGAATACATCTGTGCTAATCAAAAGAAAGTGTTCTACATGCCAGTCAAGTATGTGGCAACCTACCATTCTATAAATCGTAAAAAATCAATTCTATAATTTATTGGCCAAATGATTGGCAGCCTGCTTGTTGTATGGTAGTCAGAGATGAATTATAGTGTTATAGGACAATCAAATAATTATTTCAGATGTTTTTGTTTCTTGTTTTTAGGAATATAATATGGGGGCTATGGAGATAATCTTTAGAAACTAAAGGTTTTAGATTAAGCAGGACTAAAACTGCATATATGAAATGCAATTTTAGTAATTTTAGGAATAGATAGGAGAATATATTTAATTTGGATGGATATAAAGTTTCTTTAAGTAAAAACTTTAGGATTCTTCGATCAATTATTTAACAAGATGAAGAGACCGATGAAGATATTATTCATAGAGTAAAAACGGGATGGTTAAGATGGCGAGGGGCGTCAGGAGCCTTGTGTGATTATTGGATACCTTTAAGATTAAAAGAAAAAAATTATAAGATAGTTATAAGACCAATTATACTTTATGGATCTAAGTGTTGGACAATTAAGAAACAACATATACAAAAAATTATGTTGTTGAGATAAGAATGTTGAGATAGATGTGTGAAATTACAAGGAAAGATTAAAAAAAATTATTTTTATCCGTGAACAACTAGGTATCGCTTCGATAGAGTATAAAATGAGTGAAAATCATTTAAGATATTATGGGCATATGTTTAGGAGACTTTCGAATGCGGTAGTCAGAGGAGATGAAATGATTAATGTAAGTGGCTCAAGAAGAGATAGAGGAAGACCTAAAAAAACCTTAATAACAAAGTTTTTAATCTCGTACCGTACTGATGTATTGAGCCTTGCTTGGTACGGTACGTATTGGCGTATCGAGTGGAGAACACAAAGCAACTTAAGGTTTTTGTACCTGATCGTGGACGCAGAGGAGAAGAACTCCCCCCACCGACAAGTGAAGTGCCTTGGGGCAGATTGGCGCATGCACGAGAGGGAGTGGCGAAGGGGGAAGGCTTCCAGAAAGGGAAAGTTCTCATGGCCTTCCAACACGACCTTCATAGGCTAGCTTCGTTCCAGTCGGATAGAAGGTTTCAGGACCTTCATCGAGTCGGAGGGTAACGCTTGGCCCGGCTCTTGTGTCGTCGACCGAGAGCAAGGGTTTAGATGCAAGTGGCACTCCAATGATGACTATCATGAGGGCGACTAGTGGCGCAACCTACAAAAGGGCTATAGTCGATGCGTGTGGCGGAGAGAGAACTAGTACCGACGAGTGGCGGAACGACATAATATCCGACCATGGGGCGCTCATTTGTGCTAATGGCAACTGCTACGACAACCACCAGGAGAATGTTGTGCCGAAGGGGAGCAGCGTGTTCGCTTGGCTGGATGACAACTGTTACGTAATGCCCGGTACAGGTCGGTAACAATCAAAATGTTGATCATTACCACCCGGTACAGCCCCATATCGTCCAATCCGGGGCCAAAAACCTGATACCACCCGGTAGCGGGCGATCCGCGTGCTAGTCTGCTGACAGATCGATATGTACCACCCATATTGGGCGATATGGTATGAAATTAAAAACCCTAGCTTGATAGAAACTATAAATAAAGATTTAAGTAATTTAAACTTAACTAAGCATATTACTTTTTATGAATCTTAATAGCGACAAAAGATTCATGTAGTCAACCTCAAATAGTTGGGACTTACGGTTTTGTTGTTGTTGTAGTAGTAGTACAACCAAATAATTATTTCAGATGTTTCTGTTTCTTGATTCTACGAATATAATATGGGGCCTAGTCTGATTTACTAAATAATACCTATGTTCTAGCTAGATTCATTTCTCATGAGACAAAAGCTTCAAGAATTCAAGTGTTGGGAGCAGTCAGCACTCTTTCAGGTTACTCTAATAGTCTAACTTATATATTGTATAGTGTTAGTTACTGCTGCCTTATTTTTCTAAGTGACACAATGTTGAGCTTTACTACAATTATGTTGAGGAAACTTCAATTGATTTCAAATCTAGTTGCATAATCTATTATAGGTCATTATCTCCTACTCGAGTGCTTGATTTGAAATTGTTGCCTTGATGGATTTCAGTGCCGAATGAAAATTATTTCAATTCTCTTAGTCTTAGGGACAGATGAACCAATTCCTATCTAGAAACCCAATGATATTTTGCACGACTACTGCTATGATTTAGTCCCTCATCCAATGCAATTTTGGGAAACTAAATTGGTGATCCATGAAGCCTGAACTGTTTACATCCATGTTATGTTGGTGGTCCTATTGGTAGTTCATGAGATTGCAATGGATGTATGAGGAGATTACCAAGTTGCATATTGCTACGGCTTACCATGCCCTGTCTATTGTCGTAATACATCTGATGAGGTGGTTTCTTGTTGTGCATCTTATGCAACTTATTGTGGCTAACTGTCCTTGGTTTGGGGCCCTTAAGCCAAGAAAGCTCTGCATCAGATTTCTAACTACTACAAGAATCTAATAAGTATCTGAAACTCCAACCTTCAAGAAGAAAAGATACACTGGGATGGACCCGACAAGGGCCTCCAATGATGCCCAAGAGTCCGAACTAGGTCAGAAGTGGATGCAGGAATGAGTGAGACAAAAGGAGTAGGTGGAAGAAGGGAAAAGTGAAGGACTCCAATGACATGTAACTGATGATCATTGCATGTGGTAATCGTAGTTTCTTTACCTGTCTGAGTACAGACGAACCCAATGCCATTGATTTAGCAAGCACTAATGTTTAGTTATAACTTTTTATTGCAAAAATCACTGTGATCTGTTATTGTTCTGAACTTCTTTAATTTTTTATTTTATTTTTCTGTAGCAATTACTGGTCACTGAGACCATTGCAGGCAGTATCACCAAACCTAACCTCTGTCTTCTCCATGTAGGAATACGATGTTAACCTTGATGGGCTACTTAACCGCGAGGAGTTTGCAGAGTTCATTCGGAAACTGACAGCTGAAACCTTAACTGCAATCAGTCAAAGTCTTATAATTGCACTTATATTGGCTCCAACCATCGCGCTGATGACAAAGAGGGCAACCGAAGGAGTGCCCGGTGTGGGTAAAATGGTGCAGAAGCTTCCAAATTCCATCTACGCTTCCATCATTACCCTTGGGGTGCTGTTAGCCCAAAAATCCACGGAGGGTTGTGAATAACCAAGTCAAGAATTTCTACAACGTCTTTCTAAAAATAAGTTTAGGTATGTCGAAGTGTCGACACTATCTCTAAGATTTGATCTTGCTGATTTTTAATTAGCCATTACAGGAGATTAAGCAACTACGACTTGACTGTCTTAATTTCTACCTGTTCCTATAAATCTGCTGTAAATTGAGTGCGAATGGTCCATTATAAATAGACGCTTATATTCTATTCCATTATAAAATTGTGATCCTGCATATCATCTTGTGTGTGTGTGTGTGTGAAAGATCATATGTGGTGTTCCAAGTAATTTAATTAGGATTGGATCAGTGGGAGTGTGTTTGTGAGCTTTCTTATTCTCCAAGAATCCCTCCGTGTCCATGATCTTTCTATAACTCGTTGACGCCCTTTTACGACGCAGGTGCTCTTTGGATACGAATCTCCTGTTCTGATATAATAAATTGTAGGGAGCAGTTGGTCAGCTTGGGCGTGAGCATGATGGAGGCATCCACGGATTCCAATATTTAATGAAAGGAGCACGAAGACTCGTACGGATGCTTCAAGATCCGCTGTGATTCGCACTGCGGTAGATTTCTAACCCAATATTTAAAATATTCTAATCTCCAAGATTTCTTTTTCTTTTATCCCGAATTACTTATCCTTCGAAGAAGATCGAGATCTTGACTTCAACCAATCAAATTAATATTGCTTGGTGAATCAGACACGTCGCTGCAATCCTGGCAGCGAACCAAAACTCGACTTCGTCTGCTGCAATCATGGCAGGAGAAGCAGCGAGACCAGTCTGGTACGGACGTTACGCGCCGACTTCGCCGTATTACATATGCTGCTCGTTCAAACTTTGTTAGGGAAGAAGACTCCACCAAACCGCGTCCGGACAAGCGCCACCAACTCTTGGGAAAGCGAAGGGAAGAGGCCATACGATACATAAATGGTGCCAAATCGGACGGCACTAACTACCGGTCTAAGCATCCGAGTGGAGAGGGACTCGGGGCGGTTTATCTGTTTGGGGTTTAGAATGGTGGGCAGGGCAGGGCAGGGCAGGGCCGGCAGTCTTCCACTTTGTTAGCTGGCGACACAAAGAACCTTCTTCGGTAACACTACTGCTCGTATGATCGCGCTTCTCATTTGATTTCTGATGGGGGCTTGTTTTCTATGTCAGGCTTTGGGATAGCGAGCATCGGGACTCTCTCTCTCTCTCTATATATATATAGCAAATCAGGTGTTGATTCGGAGGAATCATGCTGGAACGTGTGGTTTGAGTCCCATTTCATACCGCTAAACAATCTCCAAACTACAATACAATAAGATTCAAAATTAGTATTACAAAAGAAAATATAACGTGCGCAGTTTAGTCTAACATAATGAAAAACTAAATTGATAAATCATCATTAAATTTAGATTTTAATGTTTTGAAATACTTAATGCCAACTCGTCAAATTAATGAATCAATTATCTCGGTATTTATATCGGATGCACTGGATAGCCATGCGTTCACTATGAAATGAATTTTACATGACAGTGACTGCTTGCACAAAACTATAATGTAGTGTGCATCCCATTTGGAAGATTCAATACGGTGGCATTTTAAATGAATTCTACAAATCATTATCCATGTTGTTTATGTGGTACGTATTACTTTGTCATTTTTCTTCGTCCTTTGAGGCATAGACAAATCCTTCAAAGTTATCGTGTCATCCTTGTTTCCCCTTTTTCTTTTTGTTTTGTTCATTAGTACATTTTGTCCTTATCGTTTCCTTTTTTTTTTTTTTTTTGGGGGGAGCCACATAGTTTAAATATGTTGAATTTTTTCCTTCTAAAAGTTACTGCTATCATTAAGCAATCCCTAATTTAAAACATATTATATTATGTATATATATATATATATAATGATTTTTTTTTTTCTGTTTTGTGGTTGTATAAAACACATTTGCATATATAAACATGTATAAACAACAAAGTCGTAAGTTTTAACTATTTAGAATCGATTATATAAATATTTTTATAGTTATTAAGATTAAATATATATAAATATATCTTTTTTATTAATATTATTAATATAATAATATTGATAAAAAATTAAGATAATATAATATAAAACTCATCGATTTAAAGGATTCTAAAATAGGATAACCCATGTAATAATAATAATAATATTATTATTACTATTATAAGTGACGAAAAGTAAGGTTTAACCTCGTGAAACTATCAAAATCTTTACTAGTTAGCACATTCAAAAATGTTTCGAGATCTCAACCTTTGACAAATGAGTTTGGTAAATCAATAATAACCAATATATATTATTACAATATAAAATTTATAAAATAACTTACATAACAATTAAAAATTAAAAGATGAGTAGTGTGACAATATTCGAGATCCAATAGCTTTTTCATAAGTTGATGATCCGAAATCTCATCCAATAATTTATATAAATATCAAGTAAAAAAAAATTAACTTCAAAAATTCATATAAATTTACTTTTATTTATATATATATATATAAGCTAATTTAGCGTACAAATGCTGCTCCACAGGGGAAGACATAAAAAGGAACCTAACCGTCGTGAACGGTCAATGTCGTCACCTAAACTGTTTGCATCTCTCTCAACAATCTCTGCCTCTACTAAACGGAGCCGCACAACCTAAAAGGCGAACTCGCTAGCAGACTGACAAGGCTCACAACACGTAAAGACTTTTGACCGGAGTCAGTGACTGCGAGAAAGGTTACTCCTTTGACGACCCCAAATCTCACCAGCCCTTCTCCTCGGCCGGTTTGGGCACTTGTGGGCGACTGTCAGCCGGTGGAATATGGTAGCTGTGCATGGAGTGTTAGATATGCATGTGATGATGTGAGGATAGCGGAGAGGAGAGAGGATTACTATATATATATGAAATCCGTGGTCGGAACTCTCCATCCCATTCTCTACAGGTCGCATCCCACGATTCCTCTTTCCATATGCTGCTACGTTGACAGCACAGCACACAGCAAGATTTGGCACCAATTTAAGTAGCCGCAGCAGCCGTTGGGAATCTCGTAGATTCCAGCGGAGGGTAATCGGGAGAGGGAAAAGGCGAAGGAAGATGGTGAAGAAGACGGAGAGAGCGAAGCAGAAGGCGGCGGTGGATATTGTGGTGAACAGAGGAGCTTGGACCGCTGAGGAAGACCAGAAGCTGGTGGACTACGTTAGAGACCACGGTGACAAGAACTGGCGAACCCTCCCCGCCAAAGCTGGTCCGTTCTCCTCTCTCTCTCTCTCTCTCTCTCTCTCTCTCTCTCTCACACACACACACACACACACGCACACGCACAGAGTTAATTGCTTAGTGAATTAAAGGTTGTGGTGCTGCTCTGCTCTTTCGACTCCTTTCATTCTTCCCTCTCTCTGCTGGAGCAGCTGTGTAGGTTCTAAAGAAAGCAGGAAGATGGGAACACATTTACTGAATACTTAGCCACTTCCTTGAATCTTCATTCAGTCTTGAACTAAAGCATTTAGAGGTTGATGAGTGTGTACGATCCAATCCATCAGAACAGGGAGTAGGAATTCTAATTGCTGGGTTGAGTGTTTTCTTAGCCTCTGCTTTACTTGCTCTTGGGTGTTGAGCATGGGAATCTTGATCCCAAATCTTGCCACAGTTGAACTCGACCTTTTTCTTCCACTGCAGCTTATTATTACTTTTAAGAAGATGTTAAAGCCGAGTTCTGATTGGGTAAGCTTGAGAGTTGCAGCTGCTAGTCGACATCAAGCTGTTCTATATCATGTTACCCTTCTGCTCGCAAAGCTAATAATGGCTTCCTCTTATGCAATTCTTAATTAGAAGGTCTCAGGTCTCACCAAGATTTTTATTGAGTAGGACCAGAAAGCTAATATCTTTTGTGATGCACTTTCCCTTTAAAGAATGATGGGAATCTTATCTTTCGGACATGACTCATGTGCTTGCCTCTAGTGTATCAGTAGAATTCAAATAGGGGCCTCAGCATTACATCATGACTCGTAAGCACTCTTCCTCTTCCAATGACACCTTACAATAAAAGAAGAAGAAGAAGAAGAAGAAGAATTCTCACTCCAGTAAATTACATGCCTAAAAGAAACCAAAGCAAACGCCTTCTCATCAAGCAAAATTCCTCCTTGCAGGGCTGAATAGGTGTGGTAAGAGCTGCAGGTTGAGATGGCTGAACTATCTGAGGCCAGGAATCAAAAGAGGGAACATATCGGATGAGGAAGAAGACCTCATCATTCGACTCCACAACCTGCTTGGCAACAGGTACACACACAGTCCCTTTACCGTGTACTACTGGCATACTTGCCCCGCATGCTATAAACCAAACAAGCCCATACAAACTTTCGAGGGGAACAGCATGCATGGTTTAACTGTTACCGGGGAAGGGTAAGAAGATTCAGAGAATCTATCCACCGTAAACCTTTTAAGTAGACATGAAAAGTAATGCAAGATGTAGACCGACAGCGAAGGCCGGGCGTCTCATCCTGTCGGAAGAGGAGATGGCTGTATGCCCCCCTCGGACGGTTCCAAAGTTGCACTGTTCATTAACGTGTCGTATGGACTATCGAGCATGTGACCCTTCCCCATGTGAGTTTGGCCATGTCGGTTTTCTCGTACGGGGGCAAGTTTGTCAGGATCTACTTTCACATCTTCTTGGCTGCTCTTGCTAGTTGCATGCTTGTGTTGGCGAGTTGTGACCGGTGGCATTTCTGATGTGCGGCAGGTGGTCGCTCATCGCCGGGAGATTGCCGGGGAGAACAGACAACGAGATAAAGAATCACTGGAATACTCACTTGAGCAGAAGGCCAGTGACCATCGACGACCTCAACCTCAAGCTGAATCAACAGGTGGAGAGAACGTGTGAGCGTGGGCCTTTGGTGTCTCCTGTGGCGTCGAGCCGTGACCTCACCACGCTGGTGGACCATGTGGAGGATGAGTGGGTCCTGGATGGGACGGCGGAGCTGCTGCACCAGTCGGAGCTGGACATGGATCAGCTGTTCGCTCTGATGCCCGATCCTGATGGCGGTGCGAGCAACGGTAGCGAGTTTGGGGCAGAGGCGGATGGCAGCGGAGGGGAAGAAGGGTACCGAGATATAAACGAGGGTGAGATTTCTGGAGCCAAAACCGAGGGGTGTTCGGATGCGCAGGCTGGGTGGGACGTGGACTTGGAGAGGTTCATGGGCTACGACGACGATCTTGCATTCTATTTTCTCGACTAAACTTCGTGGGTATTATTGCTTCTTTACAGTAGTCGGAAGAGCTTCTTGTGATGTCTTCATTGTTCACCGTGATGTTGTATTTGTTCTTTTAGCAACGAGAAGAAGGCTGATGGAATTCGTTTGTGTTAGGAAAATTTGTACCGCAGTGTGGGTGGGTCAATGAGAAAGCTTATTTGTAGAACGGTAGGTTAGAGAGGCTGGCAGGCAGGTTTGCAGGCAAAATGCTGCGAATTCCCTGTTTTTTGTTGTTGGTGTTAGGAGGCTGCTGGGACCCAGAGATGAGGGGGGGGGGATTGATTCCCCAGGCAGGTGTAGAAAAAGGTAAACGAGAACCGCCTCAAGTCTACCGTTGGTTTCTGAAGACGTCTTTTGAAGCGACTCTACGACTGTCGCCCTGCATTGTTCGTTTGAAGCCATCATCGTCGCGTGGACTATTATCTGACACACCAGTTTAGTCTCTCAAACTAGTGGTGAGAGGAGTCTTGAATAGGCGGCTAATAAGGTTACATTGATCCTCCTCTGATTAATCCATCCATCCATCCATCCTCTAATTGGATTTAAACATCTTGGTCATCTACTCTTACATCTATTATTAGCCTAATAGATCATGGATAGGCGGCTGACTAGGTTACATGCATCCCCTAATTAAATTGGATTTAATCATTTTGGTCATCTAACTCTTATATCCATTTAAGTGAATAGATCATGGGTCACAGATGCCGATATGCCAGATAGCATCTGATATTGATAGGAAAATAACCTCGACAACTTGACACACCGTGACCGACGTTACGTTTCCGATATTTCGATCACCTGCATCTACCATGACATTGTTTTTCTAAACATTACTGACTACATCACAATTTTTACCCAAGCGATGGGGCATTATCATCCATGACATCAGTGCAATCTACAAGTGTAACTATCCTAAACCACACTGTAAAAAACCCTCTTAGGTGTGTTCCTTAACATACAAAAATTCACAAGCTCTTTATATATTCAATCTAGAAATCTCAGCATTTAGTAATTTTACAGGATTTGATATTTTCTAACAACAATCAAAGACAAGACAGGCGTAGAATGACATCTTGATTGGCTCTTAATTAATATTCCAATTGGACAATCAGATTTTGACTTAACAAATATAAAAATCTTTTGCACACCAAACCGAAGAAACTTACATTTTTAGTGGTTACTTCAGCTCCAAATCCCCACCTGCTGGATGCACATTTTTATCATGAATGATCCTGTAAAAATTGGACACAGCACCAGTCTTCCGTTCTTCATATAGGCATTGTAACTTGTACAATAAGGGGACCTCGACACAGCTCTTGTCATCAAACATTTTTGAGAAAAGCAATGTAATAAAGTAAGGATTTTCTACTATGCTATATCAAACATTTCATGTAGGTGAAAGCACTTACAATCAAACCGACCAAGTTAGGAATTAACACTCCTCTAATGAGCCAATAATTTCAAATAACATGGATTCGTATAAACCAAGCTCGGCATCAACGACCACACCGGATAACATTTTGGTGTATATAAAAACAAGCCAAAGTAACAGTTTATTACTTCAAAACCTTTAAAAAGCAACCATGATGGACTTCAGCCTACAACTTCTTCGAATACCTCCTACCAGGGGTCTCATGTGGTGGTGGTTTACTTGCCTTCTGTATACCAGAATCCAGTGACATATGTGACAGTTTCTCAGCAATTTTGGTGCATGGCATCTTACCTGGTACGTCGACAATCTTCTGAGATTTTACTGCCAAATATCCTGCTGCACAAATTTAAAAAGGATGATTTTACAGAACATGCTGGAAAGTGAACTCTACACAACATGATGGTTCAACGTCTTCAGTTGTATAAGTAAAAATGTTAAAACAGAAGCAAAAAATTAACAAAGTTGAGTAATGCTCCTATGCACATAATAGAATTGCCAGAAATATCCGAATTATTTCTTCAATAAGTCAACAATCAAATAACTGAATAGGACAGCCAAGCACTCCAAACAACTTGCCTGTATTGTTTCTTGCTGGAGGCTTATATCGAGATTGTCTCAGATTGTTCCCCAGGGATCTTCCGTTTTTCTCGAGTTCCTAGATATAGTGCAATAACTAATAAGAACAAGAATAGCATATTAGCAAAAGGTCCTATAGATTACTAAAAGCATATTACCTTATCATTCATCTCCAGTTTCCTCTGCACGCCTGTAACATCATGGGAATTATGAGACTCCAATGGTCAACAAATTTCATGTCAATTCCACATGGTATTATAAAAGGATGCATGACTTGTTCAGATAAGGTCAGGATTCCAGTACTCTTGGTCATCAGCCATGTTTATCAACTTTGTATGAATTTTAATTGATTCTGGTCATAAATCCTTTGTTATAATTATCCTATTTCAAGTACAACTTCAATTGTGAAAATAATCAAGAATTAAGTTTGAAGATCTTGAAGTGTTAGACAGGATTTTATGAGATACTGATTAAAAGTGATCTGTCTTAAATTCAGACACTTCGAAAGTTTTGCAACAAGTTTCTTAGCTGAAAATCCTTGTTGGGACCAAGAATTCAAACAGGCTTGTATAAGGACTATATGAAGACAAATTTCAACAAAAGGCTTTCTGATGTCAGGCAGCCATCTTTTTAATTAATCTTTCACTTAATCGGTCATTTTTTATTTTTACTTTTCTCCCTATCCATTCTTTAGTTTCCAATTGCACATTTTAGTCATCAACTGTTTTTTCAGATGATACTTGTTGCCTATTTATTGCTCCATAGTACCTGAGAGTTTACAAATAATTTCTGTTGCTCTGGTTATTTAGAAACAAGATAATGTACAACTTCTGTTAAATTACCAGCCCTCAGAGAACCATTTGCTTTTGTTGAAATAAAATTATTTGCTGATCTTGTGACAGACAGTGGTCCAGTTGAATATCTTCTAGTACCGTTCTGCCCCAAAGCTCCTTTATTCCCCACTAGAAAAAGATCAATAAATGTTAAAGAACATGCTGGTGTCAAAAACCAACACAAGAATAGTTGGCAAGGCGACCAAAAATAAGAACACAAATAGGAGAACATACCAGGGGGTGTATGTGACAATCCTGCCAGTCTTGAATGGAAAGACGGATGAATACGAAGGCATGCCTAAAGTATAATAGAAATGCATGTATTAGCATCTTTTCTTGTAAAAAGCCCCTGCTAATTTGTGTAACTTTGTTCACAAAATACAAAGAATAGGAACGGTAAGGAAAGACAGAAAGATTCACACTTTGAAGAAAGGATGCTGAAGGGCTTCAGTTGCTTTTGGCCTCCTGCAGGGATCCCAGGAACAAAGTGCCTATAAATACAGGATCGTTATAGAAAACTAGCAAATTAGAGTCAAAAGATAAAGACTAAACTAATCAAGAATAAGAATTATTGTTGTATCCCTAAAAAGACCATAAAAGAGAAATAAGGTTGTACCTTAATTAGGTTAACTGCTTCTTTGCTGGCTGATGGAATTAGTGCTTCTAATTGTACAGCAGAACACTGCAGACCGAAAAAAAAAATCCATTTTAGGATAACTTATGGTAAAGTAAAACTATATGATAAATGAAGAAACAAAGCCACATACAATCTTTTTCAGAAGATAAAAAATTGCAATAAAGAGAAGCTAATTTTGAGCCTCTGTTGCACAAGAAATTGGTAAAACAAAGTAGAAAGTTCAAACCAAGATTTGTCGTACCATAGCGTACTGCTCAGTATGGACAGTACATACTGGTCCGACAGGAGACTGGTATCAATATGCTCCCATGTACCATGTGTTAGTATGCTCGGCATAGCTCGGTACATACCATACCGATAGCTAGTCGGTACACCAATACAGATCGGTAAGATAAATCATGGTTCAAACCATGGTATGCAATTTCGAATAGCATCGCCCGGTACATATTGGCCTAACAGGGGACTGGTATCAATATGCTCCCATGTACCATGTGTTAGTATGCTCGGCATAGTTCGGTACATTCCATATCGATAGCTAGTCGATACACCAATACAGATCGGTAAGGTAAATCATGGTTCAAACCATGGTATGCAATTTCGAATAGCATCGCCCGGTACGGGCGGTACATACCGGTCCGACGGCATACCAGTACGCGGACCGCCCGCTACCGGGCGGAACGTGCTACAGTGCTACAATGCTACAGTAAGAGGAAGAAATATTTAAAATCATTCGGCACGTCCTGGTGTATCGCTCGGTATGCCCTGGTGTACCGAGCAGTACACGGTACCGTACCGTACCGAGCCAACCTCGAAACACCGATGTACGGTATTGCATACCTTGGTTCAAACAAACACTTGTTTATAGATAAAATGCAGACATGTAGATCTAAAGCATAATGCACAACCATAGAACCTTGTGGCTCGTCCTGATGGTGAATCTTATTAAATAGTGGCAAAATCAGTAAAAAATGTAATGACATGTCCCTTTTTGCAAGGAAAATGGTGGAAAGAGTTTACAGGGAAATTTTATTTTTATGTAAAGTAAATAAAATTTGCTTGGATTGAAGACAAAGAAACAAGAACAGGTTTTCTTTTCCTTTGATGTGTTTGGGATTCTAGAAAACTAAAACTTGACCTCTTTATGTAGACATGAGTTAACATCAAATTATAGAAAAAATGATATGATAGTCTTTTCTCATCTGCAAAGGAATAACATAGACAATGAAAAGGCGACTTTTCATAGAAATATAGAGGAAAATATTTGGCTTTTTAATTTTCCTGGCAACCACTCAATGCAAAAGAATTTCCAAGGGAAAATTAATTTCCATGAATTTATCCATGCATTGAAGCACACCCTAACTTCAACCTGATGGACTACAGTAACAATTAATTACAGAAACATGCTAACATTATAATCAGTCACAAGCCACAGACTAAAACAAGTAATTTAGAAGATTGTCACTAACAAATAATTTTCTTAATTTATGAATCAGAATGGTGCAAGAATGTGAATAGGGTACTCAGACCAAAGAAACACAGTTCCAAATAAACAAATAGTTTTGGCTGTAATATATGGCAAAATGCAAATATTTTAACCAGGAAAAAAGATTAAACAGTAAAAATCCAAATT